CCTAAACTCACTCTATAGTCACTTATTCCATTTCTATTTTTGCATCTAATAGGTTTTGCAATGTTCTTTGAGCAAAAAGAAGGCGTTTTAAGTTTGGGTGCAGATTTCAAACCCATCTGCATCTGCTATAATTTAAAGATTGTAAACAAGAACTCGGCTTTGAGGCAAGGCTTAAAAATACACTTCTCATTTTGCCAAGATTTGAGGGGAAAGAAGCAAGGGCTTATTTTTCTTTTTGGTACATGTATCTTATCTCAATGTTAAGAGCATTTCCTTTTTAAAATCTGAGAACTGCTGTAGAGCACATCTGCTGCTCATAGGAATAGGTGACCTTGAGAAAGCCATCCTATTTAAGCCCCAGTTTCTTCATTTGTACAATAACTATGACAATAGTATTTATGGCTTAGAGTTGTTGCAAGAATTAAATGAGATTTAATACATAGAAAGTTTTTAGAACATTCTTGTGATTTTTCTCTTACCAAAGAAAAAAAGTCTTCTTATTAAGTCTCTGAGACGATACAAGGAATTTTGTTTTGCAGCTGGATGTCAGTGGCTCACACCTGTAATCCTAGCTACTTGGGGAGTCTGAGATCAGGAGGATTACCTTTTGAGGCCAGCCAGAGCAAGTAGTTCGCTAGAACCCATCTCCAAAACAACCAGAGTAAATTGGACTGCAAGCGTGGCTCAGCAAAGCCCTGAGTTCAAACCCCAGTCCCCAAAACACAATTATATTTTTCTTTTACATTTACCAAAGTATTAAATACTAATGCCTAGATATCTCTTGAAATTCCGTTGCCTTTATTTGTGTGTATAACACATGTGATAATGCTTCAGAAGAGCAGAAACTCATTATGCTGTTTACTTCATTATTTAATGATTATTTGGCTCCTAGAAGGAGTGTCTGTTATTGTCCATCATTCTGTATCTTGTCTGCTCCCTGGAAAGCTATGGGAAATAATTGTAAGTCCACTCTCTTATTCCTAGCAAGTCATGAACTCTGGCTTGCTGACAAGTCCCAGTGCCAACACAGTCTTATAGAAAGATCTGAGAATCAGAAAACCAGTATTCAAGTTCAGACTTACTGACTTCCTAGCTGTAAGTCCTGGAAGAAACCACTGAGCTACATTAACAACCCATGGGATGGAGCCTCTTCTTCTTCCTTCATAGGATTACTGTGACTAAAAGTCACAAAGAATGACTAAAAGTGATTTTAAAACACCAACGCACTGGGGATCACTTAGTATCATTATGGCAGACTTACTGGTGTACGCATTAGTTATAATAGGTTCCATGACAGGATAATGAAATAATAAATAATGCTCTGTATATAACTGATTATTTTGACAAACAAGCCTTTCATAGAGAATGAACAATAGATATCATTCTTTTTCATTAAAAACTAATCTGAGTACTTTTTAAGAAATCCAATTGCTTTTCCCTCTCATGTGTTAACTTAAAACTCTTCCAAGTTTAAAGGTCTAAAAGCAGATTGGTCCCAAAGGCCCTCTGAAGGTTTGAGATCATAAGAGCAGATCCTAGACAGTTTGCCTCTTTCGGATAACAGAGAGATCCAAACAGGGAGTGTACTAAAGTGTGGGTGTTAGAAAGGAAGCTCAGAACAGGTCAGGACTCTGGAGACAGATTGCCTGGGCTCAAGGCCACATCTGCTTTGTGACCACGAATGAGTGACCAGCTTCTCTAAACCTGTTTCCTTGTCTATAAAAGTGTATAGATAGTGTTTTTCTGCCTTGTATTCCCAGTGCCTGTTGGTCTCTAAGATAGCATTGTGCTGCTACACCTTCTCTATAAAAATAAAGGCCTTGATTTGTAGTGTGTGCTGATTTCCATGGTGTAAATATACCATTCCTGGTATCAAGCTACCAGCATGATTGCTGGCTTGCCAAATTTCTGAATATTTAGCAGTCATTTCTGATGACCCTCTGAGAGAGCTGCAGCAAACCACCACCATTACTCAGGCACTCAGTCAGTGTGGACAGGTTAATCAGTCAGCTGGGTGCTGCATCAAGTGCTATTAGATGTCCTACAAAAGCTAATGAAAATGACGAAATGCAGAAGGAAAATGTCTGTGAGTAAAAGTGCACATTAGAGGTAGCATCTCATTTTCAATTCTGATTTTCCAAGGCACAGAGACACTCCAGTCGCTCCTCCGCCATTAGATAAGAAATCAGTATCACTACCCAAGGTAAAATCAAGTTTCCATGATAGTGATTTGAATGTCCCTGATTGTCAGACAGAACCTCCTTTTCCCATCCCCTCCCCCAGCTGCTTCTGGCACAGTTTTATTTAAGAATTTATCAGAAGCTTGCCAAACAGGAGCTGGAGAGTTTACTACCTGGCTTTAACCCCTTCCTGATGTCCTTCCCTCCTGCTCAATGGCATGCACTGAGTCCTGTCCGATGGCCATCCCACCCTTCTCTTTAGTCTAAAATAGAATCTAATTGATCCTTATAGTTACTGTATCTCTAAATGACATGCCATCCTGGCCAAGGATTTTCTCAATCCCAGATGCCTTCAAGAAGTCCAATACAGTGAGCAACTTCCAAAATTGGAAAAAAAATAGCCCTAAGCTGGCATAATTTGAAGCAAGCCTAAGCATACCTCAGATGACTGCCTCCTGCCTACAGGCTTCAGGCTGGCCTGCTTTGCAAAGACTGCATCAACAATACTTCAGTCTGAAGATTTTTAACTATTTTAGATCTATGGCACTCAGCCCATCAAATATCACATCAGTCCCTAATCACTTGGTCACCCCAAGAGCCCTGTAGGTAAGAATGAGGATGGCTCCTCACAGTGTTCACACAGATCTTATGAATAAGGAAAGCCTCTCTGCCCTCTTCATTTTAACGCTGGCAGCTTGCTGTCACAACCTCATCACCATGAAAGCCCACAGATGTGAGGAGAAATGGAGGAGACAATACCAACACAAGTTTGAAAGCAGAAGTCAGAGACACAGGTTGCAAAGAAGAGAGAAGAAAAACTCCTAGAGACCCGAATTCTGATAGAAGGGAATGCTGGGAACTGAATCCCACAAAAGACCCAGAATTGGAAGTATTGGTACTTCTGATGGGGAGATGACAGGGAGAAGAGCTTTGTATTAATCTATTTTCCTTTTCTATAATAAAATACCTGAGGGAGGCTTGGCATGTTATAAAGAAAAGTTCATTTAGCTCACAGTTCTGGAGGTTCAAGGACATAGTAATAGTGTCAACTCAGCTCTGATGAGGACTCATGGTAGATGAATCACAGCAGGAGTTTGTGCTAAAGAGATATTATATGGCAAGACCAAAGCCAGAGAGCAAACCTCCCCAGAGATATGAGAGAAAGAGAAAGTTAAGAAGTATCCATCTGAGACAGAACCAATAAAAGTTCCATACTTTTACTGAACAGAGAAAACAAAAACAAAGAAATCACCAGTAAAATAATAAAAGAAATATTACCCAAGTTAAAGAACAAGAATTTCCAGATGCGAGGACTTATTGAGTACCCAGTGTTGGTTTAAATAAACCCACCTAAAGTACATCACTGCAAAATATCAGAAATCTGAGGGCAAAAAGATAATCTTCCAGGATATTAGAGAGGAAAAAAAACAGGTCACATACAAACTTCAGGAGGCAAAATGAATTTGGATTGCTTAGAATGCAATATTCAGCCTAACTCTTAAAACAGGTAGAAGGGTTCCGCTACATAAGATCTTAGGAAATTCAACTCCTAGGAGCCCTTCTGTGGGAAGATTCGATAGAGTTTGTTCTACTGAAATGAGAGGGTTAACCAAGAATAGGCAGCCAGGTGATGCAAGAAACATTTCCAACATAGAAGAGCGGGTAAAATACAGCTAGTCGGGTGGAGCCCCTCAGAGGCCTCAGGAGAGACCTCCTCAGGGGATGGAAATGCAGGTACAGATGCAACTCAACATAAACCTACTTGATGAAGAGTTTGGAGTTAAATTTATAATAAATATTCAGAATATGAGCAACCCAAAACACAGGACAATCTTGTAACTCCATGGAAAACAAAACCTTGCACATGAAAGTAAAAATAATCACAGTTCACTAGGTGGCTTAGCTGCAAATAGTGATAATAGTTACTTACAGTATTACAATATGTCAGGAGGTAGGCCCATCAGAAGAGTGTCCATAAGGGGTGGAGCTATGAAAATGCATATGAGAGAAATAATCACAAAATAACAAAATTGGGCAGAAGAAAAAATACAAAATATGAAAGGGATACCCAGATTATTTCTGAGGAAGTATAAATGCCTTATTTTAAAAACTAAAATCCATAGAACTATCTGCCTCTTTACTATGTGTGTATGTAACTTCAAACAACAAAAACTGATTTGATTTCTTATTTTTAAAGTAAGAAAGTGCATTTGTGGGAATGCGCAAATGCTGTCTCTTCTTCGAATCTTGCCTATCTCATGTTGATTAGATCTTGTAGTTGGGATGTTGCCTGCCCACTTCGCCAGATGGGTTCATGAACAGGAAGTGGAAAAGATGCAAAAGTCAGGATCTGGGTGGGTTGCTGGAGTTCTCTGTTACCCCGCATTTGTCAATCTTGAGGATCGACTACTCTCAATCTCTGCTCACCTCACTTCTTCCCTGGCTGGGGATTTCAGTCTCGGCTAAAGGATAAAGAGCTCAGGGCAGAATCAGAGGCTCATGAAAAGAGGGAACGGGTACCAGTGGACTGTGCTCTCTCTGGACCTGCCCCCCCCATTTATAGTAGCAACTGTGGTAAAGAAAGCATCTTGCCCCCATCTTAGTGTCTGCTCTTGGAATCTGTCCCCATGTGCCTCTTACCGGTCTCACCAGTCCCCATGTATGTGGTTAATTAGATGAATTTTTGTGGACTAACAAGGAATCGAAACAGAAACTTGGCATTTTTGTGGGGAAATGGGTTCCAAATAACCAATTTGCTAATCATCTTCAGAATTTGGGTTTTGCTTAGGACAGGGCTCATGAGACCCTCTGTTTCCCCAGGCTATCAGTGTTCCTGTCTCTCACAGTCACGGGGGAGAAACTGGTGAGTCCGAGATCACAGCCTGCTTCCCAAACCCCTGCCAGAATGGAGGGTCCTGTGAACCCGATAGGAAACACTTTTCCTCTGCAGCTGTAAAACTGGGCTCACCGGAGTCCACGTAAGTGAGATTGTGGCAATGTCCTCCTATGCTGCTTCCTGTCCCTAAGGAAATAACCCAGTAGGCAATTCACTAGAATAATATATTTACGCTGGCTGCTAGGACAGACAGAAAGCTAATGTCATGTTTTACAGGTAACTAAGTGTTAGTAATCATGAGGTTATGGGTAATTTAATATATTTCTTATCTTCTTCATATTTTCAAAAATTTTAAAATAATTATGTATTCTATAATTAAGAAACACAATTCTCTTAAGAAAGCCAT